AAGTGTCAGGGGACCTAGCTGGAGGGAAAGGTAGCTGAGAAAAGCTGGGGCTGAGCAGAAGATAAATTTCCTGAAAGATTGTTCTATTATCCTTCCTGCTCCGGGCAATATGCAAAAGGTCACAGTGGTTGTTCTCCCCAGACTTCTCAGAGGGCCACTTAGACTCTGCTCTGACATTTACAGCTAGAGAAGATCAAAGACCTTCTCTGAGGCCTGGTTCCCCATTTCTACATACACACACCCTGCCCCCACTTTGGATGAGGTTGCTTGTTGTATCCCCTCCTAATTCTTCCTTCTCTTGACATTCCCCTTCCATTTGGAAGGCAGAGCCAAGAGCAATGGTTCTCAGACTTTGAAGTGCATGTGAACTACCTGGAGAACTTGTCAAAACAGGCCTGCCTGTTGCTACCTCCAGTTTCTGATTCAATATGTCTAGGGGGGGGGACCTTGGAGTTGACTTTTCTGGCAAGTTCCTAATTGATGCTGATATTGTTGGCCACATTGGGATAATCACTGGCCTAGGGCAAATAATTTGGATCCATCTCTGATCTTTGATCTTTTCTCTTCACTCCCCAACTAGGGGGTAGTAGGATGGAGTTATCAGAGATTCATTTAAATTATGTGTTAAGGACTTCCTGCCATCAGAGTTGTTGATAAAGGCAATCTCTAGACTCTCCCTTCCTGTAAATCACTTCCATTCACATATGTCTGGATGAGTAGAGACTTGTCCCCTTCCCTGGTCAGGGAATCCGTAGACCTAAGAAGTTTAGAAACTGTTGCAGTTGGAGGAGGGGAGAACAATACATGCAGAGTAGGCAGAGGGAACTCCCTGCACTTCTACATTTCTATTTCTTTGAGATTAAAATATTTATGTTTTCCTAGGTTCTCCTCTAACTGATGTCTGGGAAAGCATTTATGCTTAATGTCTCCAACCCATTAGCAGCCCCACATGGGGTTCTGCTAATCAGGCTCTTTAATAGCATCCCTGTGAAGAGTGAGGTTGTGAATGCTTGTACCAGCTTCCCAGCCTCAGCTGGAGAGGAAGTGTCTAGACAAAGACCAGGGTCCAGGTAGGTTCAGAGGTAGCTTCAGAGGTAGCTTCAGAATGATTTGTGTCCGTTTAGGAGAACAGCATAATAATTCGTTCTCTACTACATTTTGGTAGTGGTGCCAGACTAGGCTCTCTGATCTCTTTGGCTGAAGTAACAAAACACCCAACAACAATAACAACAACAACAACAACACACACACACACACACACACACAGAGAGAGAGAGAGAGAGAGAGAGAGAGAGAGAGAGAGAGAGGTTTTTCCTTCTCTTTAAATTACAGAACTTTGGCCTCTTTTGGAGTATATTTTTATTCTAGTGGTACTCATCTAGCACTTATAGAACACCTCTATGTTCAAAAGGCTCTCTGCATCACTGGCTTCCCCTTCAAAATCCAGAAGCCCATACTTTATTTGTCAGCAAACAGGTGGTAAAGGCCTTTGACCTGGAATCTAGGGGATTTTTACCAACCCTTACTCTCTAAGACTTTGTGATTCTGTGTTGGCTGCTACTTGTGCAGACACTCTTGAAGACTTTGGGTTCTGTCCCTCTGCAGAGTGTAGGAATGTACCCAGAGGGAGTATTCTTACTGCCCTTAGTGATCAGAGACAAAATCAATACTGAGCTATTTGTCTCTTGCTTCTTTTGACATTTCATGATGTATTTGGTTCCTAAAAGTTTGTGTTCACTCAAAATTCAAGTGTTGAAACTCTTCCCCCAGTGTGATATTAGGAGGTGGGGCCTGTCAAAAGACAAAATGACAACAAATTTACAGATCTTAATTGGCTTTTTATTTGAGATTCTAGAATTGGGTAATAATTCATTCCATAAAATAGAATGAGTGTTCTGATGAGCTGAGCAGAGGTTTTATAGACATAGACGTAGACATAGAAAGCTGAGGAAAGCAGAAACAGAACAAAAAGCAAACTGCTTATTTCAAAGTTACTTTCATTGTAAAGGTTAAAACAGAGGACACTTCCATATCATGTCAGTCAAAACTGGATTGTTTGGGGATTTGGTTATTACCTTAAACTCCTAATTTCTTGGAAGGTCAGCTAACAACTTAGTTTTTGTGCGGTGACTTGGAACTTTGGCATGAGGGACTCCATTTTGGTTTGACTGGTTAGTCTCAGGGCAAGAGATCAGCCCAAACCGGTTGTCTCCTATAAATTTTATTTAACAGACCTTTGGGAGTTAATTAGGCTTAGATGAGGTTATAAGTGTAGAACCCTCATGAATGGGATTAGTCCCTTTTATGAGTCATGAGAGAGCTTACTTCCTCTCTATGCTTAGCCAAGTGAGAATACAATGGGAGGTTGGCCATCTGCAGCCCAGAAAAGGCCAGAACTTGATCATGCTGGCATTCTGATCTTGGACTTCCAACCTCCAGAACTGTTAGAAATAGATTTATTCATTCATTTCTTCTTTCTTTCTTTCTTTTTTTTTTTTTTTTGTACTAGGGATTTAACCCAGGGGTGCTTTACCACTGAGCTGAATCTCAGCCATTTTTATTTTTATTTTGAGACAAGGTCTCATAAAGTTGCTGAGATTGGCCTCAAACTTGCAATCCTCCTACCTCAGCCTCCCAAGTCGCTGAGATTACAGGTGTGCACCACTGCACTTGGCTTCCCCTTTCTACTCCCCCACTTCCTTCTTCCCCCTCCCCCTTCTCTCTTTCCCCAAACACTGGGGAATGAACCCAGGGGTGTTCTACCATCCCCAGTCCCCAACTATTAAAATATTTTTTATTTTGAGACAGGGTGTCACTATATTGCCAAGGCTGTCCTGAAACTTGTGATCAATCCTCTTGCCTCTGCCTCACAAGTAGCTGGGATTATAAACTGCCCAGTTTGTTGTAATAACAGGCTGACTGACTGAGACAGTTTCACTTGACAAATTCAACCACCAGCAAATATATAAGATGCTGGAAGGGAATGATACTCTGCCCTCACCCCAAGTCAGTGAAATACTTGCGAGAGAAGGTATCTTCTACTTAACAGAGCTGGAGGCCAGAAGAATCCACTAATGTCAGTGACTGGTTCCTACTCATTCCCCACATTTCTAGGAACTTTAGGGCCTGGAAGAGGCAGAGCCCCAATGCCATCAGAATCATTGGCTAATACCAACTTTTCTCTTTCCAGGCAGGGAGGGTTCATTTGGACATCTGAATTCCAGGMTGCCCACAAGCCAGCTGGTTGGCCAAGAGCTCAGGGATCTCCTCTTTTCTGCTATTTCCATTCTGGCTCCTCAACCTCAGGTCTGAGCCATGGGGAACCCTCTCCAGTCTGCTAAAATAGAATATCATAAACTGCTCCTTCTGTGGTCTGACCACCAGCTCCTCAACCTGCTGCTGCTTGAAGAAGRCTGTGATGCCTGTAATCAGTCTACAGCATCCCTCCACATGCCAGTCTCTTTATGGGAGAAGGGTGCCCATTTGGAAAGAATCACATCAGGCAATTTGGAGAGAGATGGGGAGAACGGAGGAAGTGAGATGGTTTTAGATGGCCAATTAGGCCAAGCCAGGCCACATTATGCCTCACGCTTTTTCCCTTGCCCAGCCTTTCCRCATGACCAGTTCAGGCCCATCTGACCAGCTTTCTTCCCCTCAACTGCTCCCAGACCTTGCAGAAATGCCAGCTCCTCCCTCTTCTGTCCCTTCAGCCTTCCAGGCCCCATCTAGCCCATCCCCAGGATGTATAAACCTCCCAGCTGGAGGCTGGCTTGGTGGCAGGCAGTGGGGGCAGGACAAGGGCTAGAATTTTAAATTTGAGCTAATGAACCTGTACCCTAGAGTCAAGAGTAGGTGGGTACAACTTAGCAACTGAAATGTCACCTGCTTTCTGGCCCCCTCCCCACTAGTATGTAATCACCCAGAAAGCAGACTCTGGGAGTGGAAGAACTGTGCTTAACTCTGATCTATCCCTTTCTAGTTAGTACCTTTATGCTAGTCAGCCCCTCTGAGTCTCCACTCTCTCATCTATAAAATGAGAGCAGTAATTAGGGTAATTTAAAAAGGAATGAGTAAACCTGAACTGCATACAGATCACAGTTACCTTTCTCTTGCCTGCCCATGGGTCCTCCTGGGTGCTGGTCCCACAGGAGATGCTCTTTTGGCTGCCAGATGGGTTGGGATACTCCCAGGAGGCAGCCCCACCCTGCCTAGGGGCAGTCAGAGCCCCAAAACCTTCTAGGAAAGGTGGATGAACCTCTCTCTCTCTCTCTCTCTCTCTCTCTCTCTCTCTCTTTTAACCCAAGAAAGCAGGTGGACTAGAGCTTAGGTCAGAGGAAGCATTGGGGGATGGCAGTTGGAGTGAGACCTGTTTCCATGACTTTGCCCAGAAGCCATTGTTGTGATGGGTATTTCTCTTGCCCAGCACTGGCCAGGTTTGAAGGAGGAATCCTTGCAGGAGATTGATGTCACAGACTTGCCTTCCCCTCCCCAGCCTCATCCTTGGTGATTTACAGGAATTATTTGAACATAGGAGTTAATGAAAGTAGGCTGCCAGTGTGTGGGCGAATTCATCACTGTCTCCCTGTATTCCAAGAGTGGATCTGTCTTCCAGGGTGAGATATCCTGGAGTGACTTCCTGAGGTCTGAAAAATATAAGCTTCCTTGGGAGGGTAGGGCTGGGGACAGCCTGGGCGGGGATTTTAGAAAGCTTGTGTGACTATAAAGTGGCTGTGGGGATTGGCTGGGAGGGCTTTCCCTTCTGTTTCTTTAATTATGGGGGGGAAGGGAGCCCGAGGGTATCAGCATCTATGGGGATGCTTCTACTCAAGGCCTCTCTCCTTCCCTAACACCAAACTGTCTCCTGCCCTGGGAAAAAGGTATGTCCCTGCAGCCCACTGCTCAGGGTGGGGAGAGCTCTTTTGCAGCAGTCAGTGGCAATGATGAAAGAGGTGGAAGTGAAGTGGGAGGCTGTTTGATGTGATGGGGTAGTGATCTGGAGGAAAGAAGACCAGCTCCCTTGGGCTCCATTCCCTGCTCTTTCAGTTTTGCATGTGCTGGAGGTGGCACTCAGGAAGGAACTGTTTTGAAAACACAAAGACCTAGTATTAGAAGGCTTAGAGGCAGGGTTAGGGGAGGTGTGAAAAAAAGACAGTAATTTTGCATGTGGGGGTGGAACTCATTGAGGCAAGAGAGGACAGCTGACCCCTTCAATCCCACACATGCTAGGCCTTCCCCACAGTCTAAGTATGTGGTGTGGGGTGTGTGTGTGTGTCTGTCCATACAACTATAAAATGCTGAGGGAGAGAATGACCAGCAACAGTGCTCAAACCTATTCCCCTCCTCTCCATCCAGTCAGGGGTTATCTCTCAACCCTTGCCCTCTCTCTTTTTGGCAGTACTGGAGATTGAACCTTGGGGCATTCTACCATTGAGCTACATCCTCAGWYGTTTTTATTTTTATTTTTTTGAGATGGAGTCTTGCTAAGTTGCTGAGGCTGGCCACAAACTTATGGCCCTCCTGCCTCAGTCTCCTGAATTGCTGGGATTATAGGTATGTGCCACCATACCTGGCTCCAAACCTCATTCTTGCTTCTTCTTTCTCCTCAGTTTCTCTGCATCCTCTTTCTTTTTTTCTTCTCTCTCTCTCTCTCTCTCTCTCTCTCTCTCTCTCTCTCTCTCTTTGATCTTGGAAATGGAGCATGTTAGAGAGAAGACCCTCTCCTCTAGCTACTATTATTTAAGTTGCAGCAAGATAGATTGAAGACAGATTGATATTGGGCATGGTGGCACATGCCTATAATCCTAGTGATTCCAGAGGCTGAGACAGGAGGATCACAAGTTCAAGTTCAGCCTCAGTGATTTAGCAAGGCCTTAAGGAACTTAGTGAGACTCTGCCTCAAAAGAAAAAATAAAAAGGATTGGGGGATGTAGCACTCCTGGGTTGAATCCCCAATACCCCCTTAAGAAAAGATCAGATTGAGAAAAGGAGTGGGGGAGAGTAGATGGTCTTGAAGATAAAGTAGGCAACCCCAGGGGTAGACTGTGGAATCCCATAAACTCATAGAATGTAAGAACTAAAGACCTGAGGAATCTGTGGTCTCTCCTGGGCTTACAGACAAGGAGTCTGGAGACCTTTTTTGGAAATAGCTATTATTATCTACCAGGGCTAACTGTGGACATGTCCCATTGGCCCCTGAGGGAGTTTCTGGGGAAAAGCAGGATCTCCCCTCCTGTGCACCCCAAGGCTGGCAGATGCCCCACCACATACTCATAGCTCTGAGATAGATGATCACTAAGTGTGTCTCAGCTTCTAGTTTCTTAGGCCCAGAAGAGGAGGCCAGTTTGGCTACATGGAGTATGATATTTCTTCTGAAGTTGGAGACATCTGCAAGTTGGAAAGCCCTCCTCAGAGATCTGGGCCTAAATTGTGCCCAGGGACTAGGTTGCAGGGCCTGAATTATGACAATCTAGACATCTTCCTCTTATATGCTCTGTACTGTATATATTTCTCTTCCTTGTCCCTGTCTCCCCTGGGTAAGTCTAGCTCAGACTCAGAATCTGGCAGTGTACAGAGGAGCAGCCCAAAAGCAGGTCCTTTGTTGTGGGGCCTCTTGCCCAATAGGATTGGGGCACTACAACTAGAATCTATTCTTAACAGTCCTTCCTTCCCCACCCCCAACTGGCTTCAGCAAGCCAGACAGCAGGGGGCGCTCCTGGGTCACCCCAGGAGAGGATTTTGTGCTGACGTTTTTTACCTTGAGGCAGAGAAAGTGAGAAATTTTGTCTGTCCTTATATCAATGTGAAGGGAAGCAGTTCAGACCATTCAAGAACTGGATTCAGGGCTGSGGTTGTGGCTTGCCTTGCATTCATGGAGCACTGGGTTGGATTTTCAGCACCACACAAATAAATAAAATAAAGGTATTGTGTCCATCTACTAAAAAATTTTTTTTAAATGTTAAAAAAAAAAAAGAACTGGATTCAAGCTGGGTGCACCTGTAACTCAGACAACTGAGGAGACTGAGTCAGGAGGATTTCAAGATCAAGGTCAACTTCTGCAATTTGGCAAGATCTAGGAATGTAGCTTAGTGGTAGAGCTCCCCTGGATTCAATTCCCAGTCTGGGCAGGGTAGGTGAAGGATGAGGTATGTGAGCGGCATGCAGAGGTGCRGGTCGGGGAGGGGACCAGATGCAAACTTCTAGCAGGCAGAGGCAGATAATTGAGAGAAAAATGGCTTTTCTAACTTGTCTGGCGACTCCTTGGGCTGGAACCTGACATCTACCTCTGGGAGATCAGCTTTGAGGCAAGTTTCCTTGTGGAGCCATGGCCAAGTCTGGCTCTGCCCTACTTTGTTGACAGTGTAACTCCTGATCCTTTGCCAGTCCCCAGCAGCTGATCCTATCTCAATTTTCTTCAGAATTTCAGATTAATCTGTGTTATAATTATCTATGTCCTGCCTACTAGGTTCTCCTTCTGAACCACCAGGTTCTTGGTGGGAGGGTAGAGAATGGCTTTTTCTCTTCCAGACCCAACACAGCCCTCTGTGACCTTATTTGGACTTCTATGGGAGTCGGATAGGGATGGGCTGAGGCAAGGAGTGCTAAGCAGGTGATGAGTTGTGGCACTTTCTGAGCTGGAGTCCACACAGCTGGGGCTCTTTTTCTTTTCTTTTCTTTAGTACTAGAGAACTGGCGATTGAATCCAGGGGTATTCTACCACTGAGCAATACCCCCAGCCCTTTTAATTTTTATTTTGAGACAGGGTCTCTCTAAGTTGTCTAGGCTGGCCTCAGCCTCCCACGTAACTGGAATTACAGACCTGTGTTACAACTCCTGGTCAGCTGGGGCTTTATGGGCATCAGCTCTCAGTGAAGGAAAGCCCAGAAGGGGAAGCCTTCCCATRATCCTGTCCTCTTTTCTTTCCAGTTGTTTTCCTCAGCTTCCTCACCCCCTACCCCATCACCCCTCAAAGCCACTTGACCCTCAGAATGCCTCTTTTCCAGTAAAAGTGTCTGTGTGTGCATTTACTTATGGATATAAAAAGAATGAAGCTTCTGTCGGGTTACATAGCAACAGAAGAAAAGCCTGGTCTTTTGGCTTTTAGCACCTCCAAATTCTTCTTCTGTGGTGACTGGTATGAAGAAGGAACCTCTGAGCCAGAGACAAAGGCTATGTGGCTCACAGGGTTGAGTCCACAGGCCTGAGCCTGTGAATTTGTTCTAGGGGAGTCATCCCCGAATCTTACCCCTTCCATCCAATCCCAGTCACCAGTCACCCATTCTCCTTAGAGTCTGGCTTTGCAGGAACTCCCAGGTTTCCAGGGATTTATCTCATGCCACAGGGTCACAGGGTTGAATGGGGTTGGAGGTAGGGTTTCCCACCCTCCTCAAAAGCCCTAGGGTCCCAACAACACTGAACATTAATTCTGAGCTCTCTCAGGCAGGAGGGAGGAGGAATGAGTCCTCATTTGGAAGAAAATCTGAAGAGAAACAAATTCCATAGGCTTGTAGTCCTGTAGGTCTATGGCCTTTCCCTCTGTGTCTCTCAGCTCTTTCAACCAGAATATTTTCCCTGAGATTTCATCCAAGTTCCTCCAGCTGAAGTTTTAGCCCACACTCTATTGTGTGGCACACACTGCAAATCCTGTGACACCTACCTGTGCAATTAGACTAGTGAGATAAAGAGCTATGGAAAGCCCGGTGCAGTGGCGCTCACCTGTAATCCCAGCAGCTCGGGAGGCTGAGACAGGAAGAACTTGAGTTCAAAGGCAGCCTCAGCAAAAAGTGAGGCACTGAGCAACTCATTGAGACTCTCTAAATAAAATACAAAATAGGGCTGGGGACATGGCTTAGTGGTTGAGTGCCCCTGAGTTCAATCCCAGGTAYTCAAACAAAAACACAAAAAGAGCTGTGAAAAGGGCCAAGGAGGAGGAAAATGGCATTAGTTCCAAAGTCCCAAATTGGCTTCAGAAGTCTAAAGGGTGATTGGAATTACAGCAGTATTGCTGTGTTTAGGGAGAAGGTGAGGATTTTGGAGCAGTCTGTCTTGATCAGCCATGTCTGAAATGAGGCCTCAACTGAGCCAAGAAAAGACAAGGACCTTATGCATCCYTAAGAGGTGCTAGACTTTATCCATTCCCTTGTGTCCCCTCCCCTAGCCTATCCCTCTGTATGGTGACAAAATCTTTTTTCCATTCTAAATAGCTACTTACCCCCTTTCTCCAGGCTGCTTGGCATTAGCTAGACAGCAACCTGCTTAAGGAACTTCAGGCTCCTGAGAAGAAAGTGAGGGAAGGCAGAGAAGTTCATTCTTGGTTTGGAAGTGAGGTGGAAGTTCACTGACACTGCACTACTGACTCCTGCTTAAGGTTCAGAAGTCTCTCTCTCTCTCTCTCTCTCTTCTGGTAATTAAATGCATGGTATGCACATACTCTACCACTAAGCTACATTCCCAGCCCCAGAAGCCATTTAGAAAGCTGGGCATTTGGGTCACATTTGTGATGGCTTCCCAGTATATAACCTTTAAAAAAAAAAAAAAAATATATATATATATATATATATATATATATATTAATTGTAGACACACAATACCTTTATTTTTATTTATTTGTTTTTATGTGGTGCTGAGGATTGAACCCAGTACTTCACATATGCAAGGCAAATACTCTAACAACTGAGCTGCAACCCCAGCCTCCAGTATATAATCTTAAGACCTGGGGATAGGGCCAGAAAGGAATGAAATATAGAGATGGCTTCTACTCATAGAGCATTTTTGACAGCTAAGGATYGGTCTAAGCATTTTACAAGCTTTCTCTCATGTCATCTGCAAACTACTATTAAATTAGGTCTAATTGTGATTTCTTTCTTTCTTTCCTTTCTTTGTACTAAGAAAGGAACCACCCAGGTGGTAGCTTTACCACTGGGCTACATCCTCAGCTCTTTTTATTTTTGATCTTGAGACAGGATCTTACTCATTGCATAAGCAGGCTTTGAACTTGAAATCTTCCTTCTGCAGTCTTGTAAACATCTGGGCTTAGAGGCCTATGCCACCATGCCTAGCTTGTGATTCCTATTGTACAGATGAATAAGTGGAGGTACACACTTAGTGATAATAAAAATCAAGATAGAAGTACTGATGGTAAAATTTAAATCCATGTACAAACACATATTATATGTGTGGTATTATTAAATCCTGGAAGTTTATCATGTTATCCTCCTTTTCAGTGAAGAAAACTGACACTGAGAGAGAATTAACTTCCCCAAGGTCATGCATGGAGTCTTAGAAAATGACCCTGCCTGGCTGAGGTTGAAGCTCAGTGGTAGAACGCTTGCCTTGTATATGTGAGGCATAGGGTTCGATCCTCAGCATCACATAAAAATAAATTTAAAAAAAATAAAGGTATTATGCCCATCTACAACTAAAAATATTTTTTAAATAAATTTAAAAAAGAAAAGAAAAGAAAAAAATGGCCAAGTCAAGAGACAAGCCCACTTCTGTCTGATTTCACCAAGGCCTGTGCCCATGATCCCTTAGAATGGAAAGCAGGGGGCCATCATGGAAAGCAGGTAGTTATAGAAGAAAGTCCCACTGCCTTTAAAAGCAGAATACCCTTGGCTGACAGGCTGAGCCAGGAGCTGAGTGTCTGCCATACTGGGAGGCTATAGAAGAGCCCTCCCCTGCACCAATCCCACCTCCACCTGACAGGGAAAGAAGCTTTGTTGCTGTCTTCACACCCACATGGGACTGGGCATGTGAAATAAGCTCACAGTTTGCAGGAAAATACAGCCTTAGCTGAACAGGGAGGGGTTGCTGCTTGGTCTGGCCTGAAACCCCTGCCTCCCTGTTTATCCTCAGTTGTGTACCCTCACCCTGGCATCCTGTCTGGGGCTCCTGTCAGTCTCTGCTCTCTCTCCAATATCACTGTGAATCTTGCAGGGTTGTGGTTGCCTTGGCAACTTGATGGGAAGCTCTTGAGGTTTTCTGGAAACAGAGAGAGCTGATGGGGGAGGAACCAGATTCTTTTGGGTTGCTGGTCACAAAAGGGAAGGAACCACTCCAGTGCTCACCGCTTCTGTCAGCCAGCCAGTCCTTCCCTGGGTCTGATATCAGCCTCTTCTTTTGCATCTGCAGTAGCTTTGTTTGGGTGGAAGGTGTGGGGGGGTCTCTTTGGCTGGGAGCTGTCAGGTATTGCTATGTCCTTGGCGTTGGCTCCCACTGTCACCAGAACTGCTGGACTCCTGCTTGCTCTTGTGCCCTGGCCCTGCAGTATTAATTGGTTTTATGAAGTTCAATGCCTGTTTTTTATGAGACAGATAATTACAGTGAGGGGAGGCCAGGCCCTCCTCTGCTGGACTTGGCCTGGTCTCCAGAATTGCTGACTCTCCAAACAGCACCAAACAGATGGGATCAGGTTGGGCAGGGGCAGTCAGACCTGTGGGATACTCTCCATGGGAGGAGGGCTGAGTCTCCAACTTCCAGTTGTTCTGTTAGGATCAGGGAGGAAAATGTGCATTCTTGGCCTCTTGAAGGATCCTTCACCTGTAAGGGGAGCTCCTGCAGATTCTACCCCTTTTGGGGTGTGAGGGAGAGAAGGCAGCAGAATTGGGAGGTGGGGCTCTCTTTCTAGGGTCTTTCAGGTCTTTCAGCTCTTTCAGGTCTCCTGGGGGAATCCTACTTGTGACTGTGACTGTATGACGGTATCATAGGGAGACATCCTCAATCTTTGACATGGCTGGCACCCTGTGGAGCTGTTTCTTCCTCCCTCTCTCCTTCTAGCCTACCTCCTTTCCTTTCTCAAACAATCTCAGTCAAAATACCACTTATTTTCTCTCTATGCCAGTTTCCATAACCAGTCTGCTTCTCTCTTGGTCTTTTTTCTCAGTCCTAGTCCTGGAAGGATCTTTCTCTCTTTCCCTCCCTCCTCCCCAGGTGGGAATTGACTAGCTGCCTGCCCGCTGGGGTGCTCTTCCTCTCACTGGCAGAGTCTGAGGATAGAGGGATACCCTGGGGGATGAGGAATACAAAGACATTCAGCCAACACTGGGACGGCTTCCCTCCCACCCTCATGGCTGGGAAGAGTGTAGGGTAAAGAGGATTCCATGCTTCTCTCCAGACTGGGAGCTACTGTCCAGGATTGTGACTTCTAGGTGAAGTGAGAGTCCCAGTCCCTAGACCAGGCTGAACAGCTGTGTGCCCTGATCCCTCTAGCCCTCTGGGAAGAAGCCTTAACAACGGCCCTGGTTCTAGTTACTGTCTATCCTCATCTCCTTCTTCAAAGGGAGTGAAGGTAAACGACCCATTCATGGCAGACACCAAAAAACCATACTTTCAGACTGAGCCTAGTTGTTGGGTATGGCTGGCTATGGGACAGGATGACCCTTACCTACTCTATTTATTATCGAACTCCTTCCTTCCCCTGCTTTCTTACTCAGTGGCTGACTCTCCAGGTGTTGCTTATTTAGAGTAAGTCCAGTCTTGCAGGAAAAAAGGGAGAAGTTAGATGAGCTGCCCAGGTCAGAAACCTGTAGTCCCTCACTGTACCAGCCAGGCCCCTCTCTTCCTCCTCCTCCTCCATTTAATTAGCTAATGTCTGTAAAGGGCTGGGTGGTGGAAAAGCCCTATACAAATGTTGAACACAATTTCATTTCCAAGACTAGCCAAGAATATATTTGCAGACTTGAGCAAAAGGTCACTGAGCCTGCTTGGGACAAAGAGAAAATTCCCTGCAGGGCCCAGTGGGAGGATGCCCCTGGGAGTTTGGGATAAGGGAAAGAGAGGCCATGTGAGGGTTACAGTGGGGACAAGGATACCTGCCTCCTTAATCCTCAAGCTGAGCATTTTGACACCATGCCTACTTCATCCTGTCCCTTACTCCCCAACTCCCAAGTTCCTAGAAGCTGAGTCCTTTCTTCAGGGACTAACCTCAGAGACTTTCCACCAAGAATTATGCCAATATTCGCAACAGCTAATATTTATTGAACACTTACTATGCACCAGGCTGTGCTAAGAAACCAGAGCTCTCCAGATTTGGGAGAGGTGGCTACCTTTGCAGTGGGGTGTAGGAGCTTTTCCTTTGCACAAAATCTCTCTTGGAGAAGAGTGTATCACTAAGCTTCTCTGACCAATGATGGGAGTTTCTGCTTTGTGATCTCCTAAGGCCCTCTAGTATCAATRTTTCCTGAACTCCTGAACTCTCCTCTCCTTTCCCTAGTGACCACTCACCTAAATCAAGTGTGAAAGAACATTGAGGCCCAGCTAGGGGTGTAGCTCAGTGGTGGAATGCTTTCCTAGGCTGCAAGACGTCCTGGTTTCCATCCCTAGCACCACAAAAAAGAAACAAAGAAAAAACAACATGGAGACCAATTAGCCTTGACAGTTTCCAGGGGGCAGCTTTCCAGCTTTTGGTGCTCCAAGGCTTTCTCCAGCCACCTATATGTCCCTGCCTGGTCAGAATTCTGTTATTTGCCAGGCAGGGTGTCACACAACTGTAATCCCAGCTATCTCGGAGGCTGGGGCAGAAGAATCCCTAGTTTGAGGCCAGTGAGACCCTGTCTCAAAATAAGATTAAAAAGAAAAGGGCTGGAGCTGTAGCCCAATGGTAGTGAATTTGCCTAGTATGTGCAAGGCCCTGGATTCAATTATCAGTACTGCAAAACACACACACACACACACACACAATTTTGTTATGGGACACCTTTCCTACATCTCTGTATAGGACCTGGCTTTGGGTCAGGGCCAGGATGGAGGAGGCTGAGAGAGTTAGAATAGCCAGCCTTGACCCTCACAGTTCCTCAGTCAAAGGGAGTGTTTTGGAAGGGCAAGAGAGGCAGAAAAGCAGGCAATGGAGGGCTCAGGAAGAGGCAAGCAGAATAGCTACAGGAGCTGGAAGCTTCCAGCATCCCCTGGGCCTCCTTTGTCTCCATCCCCCCTCATTCTCTGAAAGCTAAGCAGCTGGAATGGGCCTTTTGAGAGACTGGTTTCCTGAGGCCCCAATCCCTGACAGTCTTCACTGTCCCCAATCCTTCCTTCTCTGGCTCCTCTCCAGAGCCCAGGGGCCTCACTGTGTCATCAGTTCATTATCATTCTGATAAAAGTCATCTGTCCTTGAAAAAGATGAATCCCCAGCTAAGGCCAGTCCCCCACAACCTGAGAGGAATATAAATGTATGGAGACATGAGGCACACACAGGCACACAGACATAGACAATACAATGGCACTTGTTCCCAGGGTGTACCTAAATGGACACAAACCCACTAGTAAACACAGCCACATGCTTTCACCCAGGCCCTGGGGTGTTTTCATGTCATCACCAGAGAGCCCACAGAGCCACATCACTGTAGATACACTCAGTGGCTCATAATCCTGAGATTCACTTGATGCTGAGACCCACACAGTAGACTCTCACATAGAGATCAGGCTCCTCAGGCTCTGGGGGTTGGGGTGAAGAGAAGAAAATGGAGGCCAAGGTTAGCGATCTCTGAATTCCATTAGTCACAAGAAGCATGTCCTGAATCTTAAAGCACAGGGACAAGGGCGCTGCCTGGTTGGTTCCTGACAAATATGTCCTGTTCCCCTCCCCCACCAGGAAGTTCCTTGCTGTCAGCAAAGCCATTTAAGGATTAGAGCAGCTTCCTCAATAAAAGCTGCTTATTCAGAAGGTGCTTTCAGTTCATTTTGATTTACTTGGTGGATATTTTAATGAATGGAGGAGCTTCCTCCTCAGTCCCCTTTCCTGTATGCCACTGAAGTCCCTGGCCCACACTAGGTATCAGTTTGGTCTGAACCAAGCTTTTTTGTCCCTGGGTAACTTTGAGACCTCAAGGGGGAGTGGGAGGTGGTAAACACTGGCTGCTGACCCTCAGTCCCCAGGGAGAGCTGGGAGAGGCCACAGGTGAAGGAATATTCCAAAGCAGTAGATAGGCCAGAGCAGTAGATAGCCTTCCCAGTTCCCCCAGGAGGGTCTAAACATGATGTCCTGGGGAAGTATGAATCTGATTGGCTGCAAGTGGGAATGTGGTAGGGAAGTAGGTAAAGCAGCTTCAGCTTTGAAGACTGCCTCTTGACAGGCACCCCTCATGCATTCAGTTCATTCATTCAGATATCAACACTCATTACAGATGAGGTTAATACCTGCCATACAATTGTATATTGTAACACAAGCCCAGTTATTCTGGAGGGTGAGGCAGGAAGATCCAAGTTTGAGGCAGCAGCCTCAGCAATCTAGCAAGACCCTGCACCCGTACACCCCTACCCCCAAATATATAAATTTAGTATTGGGAATTGAACCCAAGGGCTGTAAGCTGTATCCCCTGAAGGCCTTGCTAAATTGCTATAGCTGGTCTCAAACTTTCAATTCTCCTGCCTCAGTCTACCAAGTCATTGGGATTATAGGCATGTGCCACCATGCCCAGCAAAATAAAATAATTTTTAAAAGAGGCTGAGGTGTGGGTGTGGTGGCACATACTTATAATCCCAGTGACTTGAGAGACTGAGGCATGAGGATCCCAAGTTCAAAGCCAGACTCAGCAACTTAGCAAAACCCTAAGGAAATTATCAAGACGCAGTCTCAAAAAAAGGAAAGAAAAGAATGGGGATGTGACTCAGTGGTTAAATGCCCCTGAATTCAATCCCTGGTACAAAAAAAAAAAAAAAAAAAATGGTGGGGGAAGTGTTCTTGGTATATAGGGCTGAGTATGAGAAGATAGTCCCTGGCATCTGCCTACTACGATGGGGGAAATTTGCTCTCATTTCATTGGCACTGTGACCCAATAGGTGCTATCATTTCTGTTTTATAGATGAGGACAAAGATTTGGGAGGCAAAATGACTGGAGCAATATCATAAGTAGAGGAAAAAAGTATCCAATGGTAGAGCCTACAATCTTTCTACCGCACTATGATATCTTTAAAATATTCAGTGTCATTTCCCACTATACTGAGATTCTTATGTTCTTGACATGGGTACAACACAGACATAAGGAGAAACGAACAATGGCAATTCCAAATATTCCACATGATTGCCATTAGCAATTTGTCATTTCTTTTGTTAGCACAAGTGTTGTATAAGTAAGTCAGGTGTAGTAAGA